AGAAGCTTTGACTCAATGAACACGGTCTTAACATACCATTGAGTATAACATTGCCAATACACCCATGGACAAAGTCATTTATCTTAATTTGACTATTTATATCATAGAGATGCATATAAAATATTGGCATGTTACCAAAAGTTTTCTCTAACAGATACTTGATTATATATTTTAAAGGATTTAGTTTAAAGCACAATAATTTTATAAAACCTATGATAAAGAACCATAATGAGATTATAGGTTAGTATCTTCATGTAGATAAAGGTCAAGATTGATGAAATAAAACAAGTTACGTTGAGATCTTGGATTTGTTTTAGAGGAAAGGAATAGAGAGCAAAATATGGCTTTATTTCAACAATGAAAAGTAAGATTTTATCAACCCTTGAAGATAACCTTCACTTTATAATGAGATCCAGAGCCACTGTCACTATAGTAACAATATATACAAAATGAATTAAAGAAACAATAATTGGACTTTAACTTCGAATACATTTAAAATATACTTCATGAGTTAGTAACCCACACACCATATCTAATGATTTGTAATGTATGGAGATAAAAACAAAACTCATATTACACCTTTCATTTTCTTTATATTTCGGTTGACACAAAAGTCAGTAAATCATTTATTAGAAAATGAGAAATTTACCTCATAATCAACCCCTTGTATACAGATGCAGTTCGGGTCTACTGTTGAGAAGCCAACCTTTTATCTGCAGTATTAATGAAATCAATTACAGTCATCGTGGCTGCAATTATCAACAACTAACACACAATAATAACATCAACAGTAACCTTATCTGTAAGTGAAATCACGTATGGATCACCACTAAGTTAAACGAAATTCTGAAGGATATTATTACTACTGTGAAACCAAAAAAGTAATTTTTTATATGAAGAATATTGACATCAATGTTCACCAAAAACAAATTCCTTTTTTCATCTCTCCAGTTCTGGTTTCCTCCACCCACTCGTAACCACCAATGGATGTCCAAATGCGATTCTTTTCAGTGAGCTTTTTGGCCTCAACCTACATCGGTGCTGCGAGGAAATGAAGTTATAAGATGTCATTGGAATCAACAAAGATAATAAAATTACAATTAGAGAGTTGGGATAAAAAGAAGTGAAAATAATTCTGATGGTAACATTGAAACCCAAATTAGGAGAGATAGATAAAGATATCACCTCAACGCTTGCGAAGGGAGGGATGGAATAAGCTCCGAGAAGAACCCCAAACGAAACACCTAGGACTCCTTCGAAGCTCCCTCAAGAGTGAAACACAGCCGGGAATGATACGATCCAAGAGCAAATGAACCAAAACGTGATGAGCAAGGAAACCCTAAATCGAACGGTGAAATGAACCTTAAACACTAGTTAACCGATCAAAACAGTGGAAAGTTTTAATCGGAGCAAAAGAGGATTTAAACGGTTAAAACAAAGAAAAAGATGAAAGATGAGGGAAACCTAGCGGAGGCACCATAGATCGAAGAACTCATCGGTGAAGATGGTGTTTCTAAGGCCGAAATAGCTGAAATAGTAGAAATGTGAGGAGAAAGGTGGATATGTGAAGAACTGTGGCTGTTGCAGGAGAGAGAACTCGAGGTATGTTTGATGGCGATGATTCGCGAATGAGAGAAGCAACGCGAAACTGAAAGAGGTGCAAGCACTGACGCAAGCACAATGAAGATGTGGCAAGGAGACCGCTGACGCGAGAGAATAAGATGTTGCAAGGAGAGCGTTGACTCGAGGTGTGGTTTGTTGGTGCTTTCCTCAACAACACCATCACTTCTCTCTCCAGAACTTCTGGCGAAGCATTAAACCTAGCCACGACTGTACTATTTCTTGAAGAGGCTGGTTTCCTAAACCCTTATAGGTGACCACAATTGTTGAACTTTGGCCGGCCGATGAGCAATGATGGAGAAGACAATGGAAAATGACTTGCTCCACTAAGAACTATTAGGTTTTGATAAATGTAATGCAGGTTTGGGATCAAGCAAAGTGAAATTTGAGAGTAAGCACGAAGTAAATTTAGAGCAAATCGAAATTGAAATTTGGGGATGAATTTTGTACTTAGTGAAACTGAAAATTTAGGAGGGGGAGAAAATTTTGGAAAATACGAAGTAAATAGGAAAAAGGGGGAAATTTGAAAATATAAGAGTAAAAGATGCTGAAATAAAAAGAAGCTCGAAACCTGAAAAACACTCCGACGAAAGGAATGAAAACCTCTTTTCAAATCAGTTTTAATAGTATATTTTAAAAAATGTTATTTATTGTAACATAATATATAGCGCTTTTTTAGAAGAATGCTATCTATTACTCTATAAATTAAAAAATAAATATTAAATAGTTATAGATAGCGCTTATTTAAAAAAACGCTATCTATTGTCATAGTTATAGATAGCGCTTTTTTAAATAAGCGCTATCTATTGTTCCACACATTAATAGATAGCGCTTATTTAAAAAAGCGCTATCTATTAAGCGCTATCTATAGCTAATTTTGTAGTAGTGATTTCATCTCATCCTACATTGCATCCAACCACTTTTGCTTTTCTTCACTTTCAATGGACTCCTCATAACATTCAGGTTCTCCCTCATCAGTTAACATCACATACTCATTGATAGAGTACTTCTTAGAAGGTTGTTTTAGCCTGTCAAATCTTCTAGGTTGAGCTTCAGGTAGCTCAGGTACATCACCAAGACTCTCATCTTGTGACACATCATGTTCCTCTTCATCAACATTATCAATATGAACATCCAAGTCATCTCCAATCTGCTGATTATCAGTATCACCATGTTGTTCATCATCATGAACATCAATATCCAAATCATTAATAGACAACCGAATTGGATCAAAATCAGCCACATTACCATCTTCCTTAGGTGTAGACTTCTCCACCTTATAAATATCTTCAATGGTTTGATCTTCCATGAATTGCACATCATGACTTCTAACAACTTTCTTTTCAATGAGGTCATACAACTTGTAACCAAATTCATCCTAACCAAAGCCAATGAAGATACATTGCCTTGTCTTCACATCCAACTTGGATCTTTCATCCTTTGAAACATGAACAAATGCTTTACAACTGAAGACACGCAAATGATCATAAGTAACATTCTTGCCAAACCAAATCTTGTTTGGCACCTTAGAGTTTAAAGCAATTGTAGGACTTAGATTAATAACATGCACTACTGTAAGCAATGTCTCACCCTAGAAATGCTTAGGCAATTTTGCTTCAGAAAGCATACACCTAACTTTTTCAATCAATGTCTTGTTCATCCTCTCTACTAAACCATTTAACTGAGGAGTTTTGGGAGGAGTCTTCTCATGTGCAATACCATACTGTCTACAATAAGCATCAAATGGTCCACAATATTCACCACCATTGTCATCAGCTTCTTGCCTGGCTACCTCTCAACCAAAGCATGAAATTCTTTAAACTTGTCCAATACTTGGTCCTTTCTCCGTAGTGCATAAACCCAAAGCTTATTGGAACAATCATCAATAAAAGTAACAAAGTAAAGTGCACCACTAAAAGACTTTACCTTCAATGGGCCACAAACATCATAATGCACTAATTCAAGCAACTCTGACTTCCTGGAAGGAGGATGCTTCTTGAAGGATACTCTGGTTTGTTTACCAGCCATGCAGTGAGAACATTTCTCCAACTCTACACTCTTCAATCCTGAGAGAACATCCTTTTTAGTTAAGCAGTTAAGTCCCTTTTCACTAATATGCCCAAACCTTCTAGGCCACAAAGATGACTCCATATACATGACATTCACACTATCTTTAGCAACCAAAGCTTTTGTCCAGTAAAGCTTAGAGTTTTTCTCCCCTTTAGCCACAATCAAGTTACTTTTGTTTAGCTTCCACTTTTCAGAACCAAAGTGTTTATCAAATCCATCATCATCAAGTACCTTCATATAAATCAAGTTAAAGCGAACATCTGGAGCATGTTTAACTCCTCTAAGCAACAACTACATCCCCATGTTGGTTTGCAAGTGAACATCACCAATACCAATAACCTTAGACACCCCATCATTACCCATCTTCAATACTCCAAAATCACTAGGTGTATACGATGTAAAGAACTCCTTCCTGGATGTAACATGCAGTATAACACCACTATCAGTTATCCACATGCTCTCATCAGATACAAGATTAATAGTGTCACAATCACGAAGACAAACAAGGTCACCACATGTAGTAGTAGTAACACGATCATCACAATCCTAATAATAATAATAATAATAATAATAATAATAATAATAATAAATAATAATAATAAATAATAATGATAATAATAATAGTAATAATAATAATAAATAATAATAATAATAATAACAAATAATAATAATAATAATAGTAATAATAATAATAATAACTAATAATAATAGTAATAATAATAATAATAAATAATAATAACAAATAATAATAAAAACAAAAATAAAAATGAAAATAACAATAAAAATAAAAATAATAATAATAAACAATTATAATAATAATAAAAATAATAATAAGAATAATAAAAAAATTCAATAATAATAATAATAATAACTATTATTATTATTATAATAATTAATAATTATAATATTAATGTTAATACTAAAATAATAAGGGTTAAATATGTTTTTCGTCCCTTAAGTATCACACGTTTTTGGTTTTAGTCCCTACTCAAAACTTTGATGGTTTTTAATTCTTATAGTTTTGAAACTCTGAGTTTTAGTCCTTCAAATTGAATGGTGTTAAGTTTTAGTAGAGGTGGCAAACGGCGTTGCCACGTGAAATACCAGCTGTCCTCTTCTCTTTCTGCCACGTTCTTGATTGAAATCAAATTAACAATTAGGGTTCTTAATTGGGCAATTAGAGTTCTTAATTGGGCAATTAGAGTTCTTAATTGGGGCAAAGTTAATTAGGGTTCTTAATTGGGGCAAAGTAAATTTTTTCAATTGGAGAAAATTTCACGGAACGACCACCGCAAGGAAACCTCGTTTCATCAAACGCCACATTTGAGCTGGGCTTCTTTTCTCCTGGCGAAAAAAGTGGAAGGAAATATCTGGAGATTTGGTATCACGGCTTGAAACAACAAACAATGGTGTGGGTTGCCAACAGAGAAGATCTTGTTGCCGATTCCAGTGGAGTTTTTCGAATTGCGGAGGATGGAAATCTGGTGGTAGAAGATGCATTCAAAAGTCGTTGGTAAAAGATGATGAAGAAGAATCCAAGTGTTAGTTGCATTGCAGTGCTGGATGTTCATTCCCAAAAGGGTCCGGCCCAATTTTCTCAAGGCGGGCAAGCTCCTGTCTGAGACCAAAGCGCAACCTGACAAAGAGAGAATTTGCAGATTAATCTGTTGGGCATGTGCTAGGGCTGCTATCCCAGCATCTTTGATTGAGCACTTGGAGACATCAAGATCGCATAGCAATGCACAGTTTTCAGCAATTGCCATCAAGCTAGCATCACTGATGTTTCTACAACCATCAAGGTTTAGGTTCTCAAGAGTCCAACCATGAAGGTTGGCCAAGGATGAAACTACTTTGTCTGTGACATTTCTGCAGCCACTGAGGTTCACTTTAACCAAACCAGCCTCAGAACTCTCTAGCAGTGGAAGAACCCCGGCATCAGTCACTCCATCGAGTCCACTTAGTTCAACATGCTGAACCCAAGTTCTTTGCCCCCAGCTCCAGCCACGAAGAAGAACCCAACTGTTAATTGCATTGCAGTGCTGGATGTTCAGTCCCAAAAGGGTCCGACCCAAAGCGCAACCTGACAAAGAGAGAATTTGCAGATTAATCTGTTGGGCATGTGCGAGGGCCGCTATCCCAGCATCTATGATTGAGCACTTGGAGACATCTAGATCACATAGCAATGCACAGTTTTCAGCAATTGCCATCAAGCTAGCATCACTGATGTTTCTACAACCATCAAGGTTTAGGTTCTCAAGAGTCCAACCATGAAGGTTGGCCAAGGATGAAACTACTTTGTCTGTGACATTTCTGCAGCCACTGAGGTTCACTTTAACCAAACCAGCCTCAGAACTCTCTAGCAGTGGAAGAACCCCGGCATCAGTCACTCCATCGAGTCCACTTAGTTCAACATGCTGAACCCAAGTTCTTTGCCCCCAGCTCCAGCCACGAAGAAGAACCCAACTTCTTCAAATCTCATTTATAAAAGATAACGAAGTGCTCTTGACTTAATCTCAGTTCAACACTTAAACATCCAACGTGGTAGAGAGTGAACAGAGCAGATCAGTGATCACGTGGCATCGCCGTTTGCCACATCTATTAAAACTTAACACCGTCCATTTTTAAGGACTAATATTTAGAGTTTCAAAACAATAAGGACTAAAAACCATCAAAGTTCTGAGTAGGGACTAAAAACAAAATCGTCTGATACTTAAGGGACTAAAAACATATTTAACCCAAATAATAATAATAATAATAATAATAATAATTATAGTAATATTAATAATAAAAATAATTTAATAATAATATTATTATTATTATTTCAATTTACTAAATTACCATTTTTTACATTTTAAAAATTAATTTTTATTTTTTTTCTACTTATAAACATTTTTACAATTATATATAACATTAAAATTATCATTTTATATTACTTTTATAACTAGGGGTATTTTGGTAATCTTTAATTTATACCAAATAAACAATTTTTATTTATGTGTCATATTAATTAAATCCTACACTAATTCCCACAAGCTTTACTCCCAAATCCACTCTCACTTACCTCAAAATTCACTCAAATAAACAACAAAAAATTTACCCTCAAATCCATTCAATCACTCTCCTCCAAATCATCTCCTCTAAACTCTCTCAAGTGAACAAGGCCTTCAGAAAATTTATATGAAATGTCCATGTTGTCCTTGTTTAATTGCATTTGTAGTGTTGCTAGTTTTCATTTATGTGAATATGAAAATTCAAGATAAAAAGAGTTGAAGACAAATAATGCAAACATAATAATAATAATATTATTAAAATAATAGTAATAATAATAATAAATAGTAATAATAATAATAATAATAATAATAAACATACTAATAATAATAATAAACATGATAATAATAAAAATAATAATAATAAAATAATAATACAATTTATTTTCATATTAAAATTAATTTTTATTTTTTCTCTCCTTGTAATAATGTTTACAATTATATATGATATTAATAATTATCATTTTACATATTTTTATTACTAAGGGTATTTTTGTTAATCTTCAATTTATATCAATTAAATCATATTTTTTTATGTGTCACATCGGTCAATTTCTACACTAATTTTTATAAACTTTACTCTAAATTCACTCTTTATTCACTTTCAAATCCTTTAAAAAAAATAATTAATTTATTCTCAAATCCATTCATTCCCTCTCCTCCAAATTCATCCTCTAAAGTGAATACAGTCTATTCCAGGGGATTCTATGGATTTTAAATTGTTTAGATTCACCGTTAAATGGTCCAGGATAAGGGGAATTCCATGGGCTAGCTATACGGTCTAATACCAAGTTTATGTCCACCTTTAGCAGTACCTTGAAAGGTCTAGTTTTCTTCTGAGCATGTGGTTGTTGACTATTATTACCAAACTGAATGCTCACTTTTCTGCATGCATTATAAGGTTGTTTTAGCTTGTTTGGTTGTCAAACATTGTTGAAATAACTTTGATTTATTGTAGATGCTTTTGATGCTGATTTGCAGGTTGTTGTGTTAACTTGTTGGCTATTTTATATTTTCTTGCATAACTCCAATCTGACATGAGAGTTTTAACGCTAGTTGTGTGCTTTAGGTAGTAGAAATGTTGTAGCTAGCTGTTATTTTTCCAATGACTGTATTTGGCTACACTTAATTAATTGATTTCAAATTGTTATGAGGTTGTATGTGCTATTTTTTGTGCTTGGGGCAGCAGAATTGCTGTAGCTGGTTCATGACGTTAGTGCTTGAATTTGGTTGATAATAATTTAATGATTTTCCCCATCTATTGTGAGATTTATAAGTGGTTTTTACGTGGTTGGCTGTCATAGTGTACCTTGTTTATTGTTTGATAGTGTTGTCTTTTATTTTTTGAAAATCAACCTGTTTGGTTAATTTATATGTGCTGGTTTGGTAATGTGGACCTGTCCGAGTCAAGATAAGGCAACTGTATTATTCCATCTGGTTTTGGTAAGCTTGTGTGGGCTGAGAGGTTATTAGGGGCGTCATTTTTTGTCTGCTTGTGTATATTGAAAGATAGGCTGTTATGACTTATGAGGTCTTCTTCTTGTGCATAGTAAATTCAGGATGACTTTTTTGCTTGTGCGAGGGAGTAAAAATAGGTTATCTGTGCCTATGTGAGGCAGTGGGGAGGCAAAGATGTTTTGCCCTTAGGTTCCAGCTTGTGTTTGAATATAGTGCTCAGTGTGAGATTCACCGAAGTTGTTACTCATAAGTTCTTTAGCAGCACAGGAAATAGGTCCGGTGTTGTGATGACACGACGACTCGAACTACCCTGTTCTGGTAAACAGGTTTGTTCAGTAGGATATGAGAGATAAACAAATGATTGGATTTGTAGTTGTGATGATCATGCTTGGGTAACTTGTTGGTACTGGTGTGATGCTTAGTGTTACTTGTCTGAATTTCTTTATTGTCAATGTTTTTCTAGTTAGCTCACCCCTGTTTGTTGATATATGTATACTGATCATGTAATTTGTGTGTTGTACGGGAACAAGTGATATTGCAGATGTTCTTGATACGGTGTAGAGCGACGAGTGGACTGGGAAGAACTTAGTGTTTTTCTTTAATTTCAATTTTGAATAAGTTTTAAAGAACATGTAATTCAATTTGAAAGTTTTATTTTGAGATTACTGGACGTATTAATTTTAATTTGCGCAATTGAATAATAAGTAGTTTTCTTTATTTCCGTTTTTCGTGCTAGTATCAAAGACTCAGTTTGAATGCTTTATACTTATTTATGGCATCCCGAAATGGAGTGTTACATTTTGGTATCAGAATCATATTTTCAAAAATCTTTTGGGGCTTTAGGAGTGAGTTAGTGTAGTTTCTGATGTGTATCTCTGATATCCTTGTGTTTCATGATGTGAATGCTTGCTAGAAATTGTTTAAAGAAGAGAACTTGCGTTTGGAATTTGTGATTAGTTAGAAACAGTTGGTATGCTCAATAAAATTGATTGAATGCACTTATTTTATGTGCTGAATAATGGTAATCCAAAGTGGTAATTTGATAGCTGAGTGCATGATGTGTTTTGAAAATTTTTGGTTGGTATATATGGTGTTTTAAAACTGTTTACGGTGCTTGATGCATGTGCAAGGTGTATGGTCTGTTTAGGCATTGTTTTGGTGGTTGTTTGATGTGAATAGTACGCTAATCGTGAAATGTAAGTCCATGGTTGTGTGAATTAAAAAGCTGGTGCAAGGATTGGTCAAACGGTTCAAGGCTGGAAGGAAGTGGTTCCTTGGTTGTTTTGATTGTGATAGTGCTTGGAATTATGCTGGATAGTTGGTGCAAGGTTCATTGGGTGCTGAAGTCATTAAGGCTTGTGTAGTTGGTGCAGAAGTGGCAGTAAGGGGAACTGACCTTGTTATTTTTTTCTATGCTTGTTGCGTGAAATTTTTTAGTGTATGCACGTGCTCAAATGTTGTGATAAGTGTCTTTCTCTGCTAATTTTTTTTTCTGGAGGAATTACCTTATTCACTGATTGATGAGTATTATGAACCCTTATTTGGTCGAATGACTGCCCTGGTGTGAAATTGTACTGCTGTAGTGAATTAATTTGGTGTGGTAAATATTATCTAGTGTCATATGTGATGTTATGTGATTAAAGGCTGTTTTAATTGTCTAATTAGCGAAGGAATTGCACACGTCTAAAATGATGGGCTTGGCTTGTGTGCACTGTGCAGTTTTTTCTGAAGACTAATTGGTTTCAGAATGATATTATCCCTGACTTAAGTATCAGTTGGCTGTTTTGATTGAGTTAGTTTAATGGTTCAGTGGTATGGGAAATAATGCGTCAGGTTCTATGTGTGCTAATGTGGTGTGCTTTAGTTGTTTATTTATACCGTTGTTTGACTGTCATTGCATGATCATGTTATTATTTTACTGACATAAAGTCTGGTGTGATGAGTTTATATATATCATGGTTAGTTTGTGAAAATTCGAGGCATAGTACAGGTGCAACGGTGCTTTCTTGGAACAATTTGTGCAGGGTGTTAATTCTTGTAATGTAGATAATTTGGTTCTACATGCTTAAGTATTTTGAACGAGAAATACATGTATTAGCGCTAGAATTATATTTGGCTGTTTTCACTGGTTAAGTAAAAGACTTTTGCTGGAAGATGATACATGGAAATAATTAGAGTGTGGTGTTAATTTATGGTAAACACATGTCCTGGTGCAGTGGTGCCTTATGGTTAAAATAGAAATGTATTTTCTGTGTTAAAACGTGAAAGTGTGTGGTGTATTCGACGTGCAGTGTTTAATATATATTACGATGTGGGTTGCTTTGAGTTTAGAAGTTGGTTAGTGCGATGATTGATTGAAGAGCTGTCTCTCATGGTAATTGAAGGGCTGTTATTGGATTTAATTTATTTTCCATTCATATTTGTGCATTTATCTTCATATATTTATATTCTATTTTTATATTTATATTCCGTTTATATATTGTTTCAAACAATTATATATATGTAAAATTGTACTCTCTTCTTATGGAATAAGAAATACAATTCCTATCCTTTCTTTTCTCATAACAGCTGTAGTGCATATTAGGTACATTAATGCTTTGCTGGTCCAAGTTATATTTGTGGTTTTGATATTGTAATTAAAAGATTGTGTTAGAATTTTATTATTATGTTAATGATGGTTCACGCTTTGTCGTCAGATCATTAGTTGAGTCATTTATTTTGACAGGTCACATATCTTCTCATAAATAGAGTGTTGTGCTTTCTCTAAGTGACAATACAATCTTGAGCTCTCCCTCTCGCATAGAATACAATCTCGAGCTCTTCTTCTCTCTCAGATCAGCATCTCGAGCTCTTACTCTCACGGAATGACTCTTGAGCTCTCCCTTTTCACAGAATACCTTTCGAGTCTCCCTCTTTCGTTTAAGTTCTTAAGGACATCTACATGCCTAAGAATTTTTTTTTCGTGATCTTTGTCAACATTTTACAACAGGTGACCCCTCTCACCCTCAAATTTTACATTTCTAAAATAAAATTGTTAGTAAGTGCACAAGATTGTGTAACACTCTATCATGCCTGAAATATGTTTGAGAAAATTCCGCAACCAGAAATCCCATGTGCGCTAACTTTCTTTTGTTTTGCATAGTTTTTGAAGGTGCCAAACTTCAACACATAGAGGACCCACTCTTACAAGTTTCTAGTGTGTGCACATGATGTTTTCCTTTCAAGTAAAAAGCATTAAAAAATGGAAGCTTTGACTCAAAGGTCTATATCTAGATGGTCTATTACACCCAGAAGAAGTATAAGCTTTGACTTTGATACTTCCCAGAAGTCTAAGCTTGCTCCTTTGTAGGTTGGTTGTCAACTCTTTTTTGCACATGAAAAGGACATGCTGTCATTTATTTTAAGGTTTTTACCACTACTTTAGGGTTATGGGTGGTTTTGTAGGAGAGACGAATGATAGACAAGTGTAAGATATTTGCAAAAGTAGGTGATGGAGGTAGTGGTTGCTTCAGCTTGCGCAAGGGAAGACCCGATGGTGTGTATGTCTCTTTACTATGATGTATAGCCACGGTTTTGATTCACAAATTTAGTTGCATTGTGATTTTAGAAATTGCGGTGCAGTTGTGGTTGCAATTAGGTAGTAGAGAACTTCTACAAAACTGCAATAGTGTAGCTGTAATAGTAGTTGCAAACCACAATTTAAGAAATGTGGATGGTGTGCAATGCAGTTGATGACAATGATACTTTGATGTCTATTTGTCGTAGGTGGCAATGGTGGGAGAGGTGGTGATGTGATTTAATAACTTTTTGTCAAGTATACCAAATCGTTCAAGTAATACAGTGAAATAAGGGAATTTGAGTGTCGTTCTCCTAAGGGAATTTGAGTCACGTTATTTAATCAAGCTTGTTTATCAAAATCAATTTACTGATGATAACATTTGATTTCAACTTTAGAAAATGACATAAAATTAACAACATGAAAATTTAAGAATATAAAATTGGATAAAAGATCATTGGAATTAGTTTTAGACTACCATTACAGTAACATCCTGAACAACATACGTTTTATATTCAAACATTCACATCAACGTACCTTGATTTAATTCCTTAAAGCAAGTTCTAAAATTATCTATTAAATTATTAATTCCTTAATTAATTTAGCAGATAACTTTGCATTAACTCTAGATGTTAAGAATGACCAAAAGAACATAAGCTATTCCTAGTGTCATTACTTTTAGTTGCTTTTCTTACGTTTATGTTCCAAAAATACTTTCCATTACAAAAGAACGTTTAAATAAAATTATAGTTCTGTATAATCATAAGTAAGTCAAGAAAAGCACAACAACACAAACATATATTGCACACGAAAATTACATTAATGTATAGTCATACAACCAATTCCAATGAACAGAAAAACTAGCCTCTTCTAGACATCTAGAACATATCTTTACAGCAATTCCTTGCAGAAAGCGAAGTCTTGATACCTTGAAGTGTCTACTGATCGTATCCTAAAGTTCTCCAGTATTTTTCGTGGTCTTTTTATGTTAGAAGATAGTTTCTGTCTTTCTGTCACGTCTTTTAAGCCAACATCATTTAATTAATTCGCTGAGCGCACGTGTGTGTATGCGCTGAGCGAATTTCTTAACTGCTGCTCTTCAACTGATGACATTCGCAGAGCGCATAGTGATAGTGCGCTATGCGAATTTCTTCCTTCTAGCATTGCGAATTATGGCTTGCGCTTAGCGAGAATTAACTAACAAGAGTCCAAATAATGCAATCTTTCTTGTACAATGTTTACACAACTTTCTACTTCCTATTACAACTTTTCAATGAGGAACAAAATGAATAATTACAAGATTGAGCTCATTTATAAGTGTAAAAACAACTCTTTTTCAAACTTATCAACTCCCCCAAACTTCAACTATTTCATGCCCTCATGAAATCACAAAAGAAAATAAATATCACAATAGACATTTGACATTTTGATAAAATGACTTTGCACATCTGAAAAAATCACATGCATTCTCAAAGATTTCAAACAAGTATGACATGGTGCATCACTCACAAAATCACTTATGCATAGAATATGAACAACCAGATCAACATTTAGCATTACTCACCACTCAAGTGTTTGTCCTCACATGACAATAGAGTTGTCATAGAACTTCATCAACTTTTACATTTCATTTAATTCACACACTTCATACACCATTGGTTAAGTAAAAAGGTCTTTTTAGGTTATGGCTTGGCTTGGCTAGAAAAAAAATCATGGTTTTTCTTGGATTCAAAGTCACCAGTTAAATAGAGAACATCAGTACATGCTTCAATTCCCAAAGCAGTAGTCAAATACCAATATATATCACTTATTCCATACCATTTTCTTTCACAGTTCAACCTTCTTTTTCAGTTCAAGCACCCTTTTTATCAATCCGTTTTTTTTTATGATTTTTTTTCCCCCAAACTTGAATTTAACCTTAACCTCAATTAAAGCATAATACATGTTCTCTTCTATGGTGTAAGGTAGTATAACATTTGGTCTCAATCTCCACTAGCTCTCCTGGTGCTGGTGACTAGGCTGTGTCCATCTAGGATCAAACTCTTCTTCCTCCTCATCACCATCACTTGCCATCATGTCCTCCTCCTGCTCTGGCTCCTGCTCTACTAGGTAAGCACTCCCCCACCTAGACTATGGCCTACCCTCAGGCCATGGAATATGGGCCGCAAACTAGGCTCCAGTTATCAGTGAATCGTCGAGGAAGTTAGGTAGGCCAAGTGAAAGGTTATACATGTTGTCCTGTAAGGACACTTGGCGTTGCCTCATACTGTTACACCAGTCACGGATATCGTCCTGTCAAGCAAGACTCTAACGCATGTAGTCGGTGAACATGTCTGTTGAAGTAACTGAGAGGGCTGAAGGAGGTTTGGCTGCTATAGTATTTCTACGTGGACGGGGAACTGGAGGAGGGGCATGCATAGTTGAAAACTCCGCCCTGTTAGTGTAATTTCGGTCAAAGAACTTTTTGTTGAGGGCGGGCTGTAATTTAAGGGTGATATCAAACACCCCAACTACTCCACTACTTTTACACAAAGCTATCACCAAAGCTGGAAACCCAAGCTTGCAAGAATCAACATCAGCAATAAGAGCCATCTCCTGAGAAATATATGCTCCAACATCAATATCAATGCTTGTGATTATACCATATACTATGTACGAGCATTCCAGGTTGATATTTGAAGTGTGAGAATTGGGGCTGATGTTAGTGAAAGAGAAGGTGCTCCATATTGTTGCCAAAGAATTCAAATGTTTCCTTAAGATTCGTACTGGTGTCCCACTGATGCCCAATTGATATCCATAGCCAGGTAAGAACAAGGTGGCAACAATAAGAACATGATCAGGATGACTGGACATAAAAGTGCCTAGAGGGCACTGCTGAAAGGTAAGTGTATGCAGCATCTTGTTCAGAGATCGTCTGTCAAAGCGAATGATAACAGTTGAAAAACTGTTATTTTCATGCTTAAAATTGATACTAAAAGCAACCTTTAACACTTAGAAACTAACTTGAAATCATGCTTTTGGTTATATTTTTAGAAATAAGAGAGCTGGACATGTTTATGCTTGATTTCAGTGTTTTTATGCAGGTTTTAAGGTGAATTTGGTGAAAGAAGTGAAGAAGGATAGAGATGGAATCAGAAAAGACATCAAAAAGTGCAAAAAGGAGAAGCCGCAACTGCCGCTGAGCGGCAGTTTACCGCTGAGCGGCACTCAGGCAGTCATGTTGGCTCTGCTGAGGGGTGAAAAGGCCGCTGAGGGGAGAAAAACAACTCACGCACTTACTATTGAGCTGTAGTTTACCGCTAAGCGGCACTATTTTGGGCTTGGGCCTAATTTTCTGTAATTTTAGAATAGTATATAAGCTTTAGGACGTCCTAGGGTTTGTATCTTTGGCTAAGACGAAGCAAACACTCTTTTTTCCACCCCTTGAAGGAAGATCTTGGATGCTCAGGCTACCTCCTCCTCTTTCTAGGGTTCTATCTTTCTTTCATTCATTATTGTTCATCTAGTTTCATCATGAATGTGGTGAACTAAACCTTGTATTGTTGTTGGGGAATCAATGTAGTCTTGTGAAACTCTCATATATGGAATTTGTGTTTTAAAGTCTTATATTAAGATATATGCTTTCTTTCATCTTTAGCTAGGGTTTTTCCTCTTTGCTTATTGCTTGCTTTGTTTAACTCATTCATTGCCATGATTATTGATTTTGTCGATACGGGAACGTACGGGGAAGTCTAGATCCGGGGAATTTCTCCCAATAGCATATTGGTTGCCTTTAAGCTCCTGCACTTTAAGAACTAATTACTAGGAATGCTAGGAATTGTATGAACTCGTAATTAAGGATAGGCCTTCTTGCAAGGTGATTTAGAGAGTGACATTAGCATTGATGATAAGAATGATGAATTCCTAAAAGTATATGAGAGTGGATAAGATGAAATTGATAACCCCAACAACATACTCATCCATCTAATTCATTGAAGTGTTTGTATTCTGTTTTTCTCCATTGATCAAATTCATGCATACATATTTAATTATTGTCTCTTGCATTTAAACCTACAATCAATTTGTTCTTAAGTCTTAAATAATCAACAAATCATATAGCTAAACTAGGCCGTGAGTCCTTTGGGAAAACGATACTTGGTCTTACCTTGTTTTATTACTTGATACGATTCGGTCACACTTACCGATTGTTAAACAAGTTTGTGGCGCCGTTTTTCGGTGTTCATAAATTTGTCATCAGTGAACCAGATTTCCCCTTACCTTGGAGACTCTCGGCCGAGATTGAGAGTGGTTGGGTTCCCAGGAATTTGCATAAAACTCTTTTACCAAGAGCTCATCAATTTCATCAAGGAGGTTGGCTAAGACACAATGCCATTTTCTCCTCTCAAGTTCTTGTTGAATGTGGTCATATTCACTTGGTCTCAACTTCACTCGCCTCTCAGGTAATAGTGCTCGACCCATGATGTTTTGATTAAATCTGTCTGAAGTCGCCTCTGAAACAGAGCGATCCTGATCATAGTTCAGAACCATGTTTTCCTCTTGGGCGTTTGCAGGTTGGGATCTAGAAGAAGACCCTCTGGTGGTCTTCCTCTTCTTCTCTTGAGTGGTCTTAGGAGGAGCCATATCTGCAAGAAAAAGCTACACTAGAAGCATGGAACACAGTTTAATCAGTTAAGCAATCAACAATGCATAAATGTTTCCATATGGATTCGTTATGCGCAAAGTTGCACTGAGCGAATTGGAAGGCGCAGTGGCTATTGTCAACAACAATTCGCTATGCACACAGTTGCGCTGAGGGAATTTACAGATATCAGAAATCATGTTGCAGAGCTAATGATTCGCTGTGCGAAACTTTCACATAGTGAATGTGACCTAACAGTGAATGACGCTATGTGAGCAACTCGCTTTGCGCCTCATAAACAATATCATATGGATCAGTATAGACATTCACTAGTCAAGTTTGGTGAATGTAAAGGTAAAATATGTAAACATCTTTTCAAAAGAATAAACCTTTCACTATGCGAATCAATCCTAGACCAGCGAAATGAACTACTCCTTTGACATTTACAGACCACAAATGCTGTTCAGATGGACAGAGCATGCACAATTTACACCTAAACCATGGAATTTCTATTTAATTGGCTACGAAACATAAAACAGAGGAAGACAAACTTACCTAAAAGTAAGCATTTTGAAGCAATAAAGAATGGAGTGCAAAGACACAAGAGTGAGCACATTGGAGTTTGGCTGTGCTAGGAATGGAAAACTAAGAAAGAATCTGGGAGCAATGGGAGAAGAAGAACTGGTAGCGCTGTGCGAAATTGAAGGGAGAGCACGGTTAAGGTAAAAAAAATGAATGAGGAGTGATAAAATTTAAAAAAAAGAAGGAAGTTAAAATTTGAAAAATGAGTAGTTTCGCTAAGTGCACCAGTCCTGTGTGCTGTGCGAAACAACTCGTATTAAATGTCCTTCTTCTTTTTCTGAACTTTTTTTCGAATATTGTATTATTTTTTGAATATTGGGGTCAGTCGTTGAGCGCACGTCAGTTGTGCGCTGAGCGAATGACCATTTTTAATTTTTTAATGTTTATTTTTTTGACCACTTTTCATTTTTTTAATATTATTCTTCCAACTACTGTCGCTGAGGGCACCTCTACTGTGCGTATAGCGAGACTAGTAAAACAGAACCACCTCTCACATTTTTGCTCGCTCTGCGCAAGGCTTCGCACAACGAAACTTTTGAGACAGTTGGACTCCCCAAACTTTTGGTCGCTCAGTGCAAGGTGTGCGTTGTGCGAATTAGTGGCTCATTTTCTCACAGTTTGCTGCAGTGATTTTGCTCGCTCCGCGTTTCCAATACGCTATGCGAATAACATTACAGAGAGAAACTAGAAGTTTGAATCGCTTAGCACTAGTGGTGCGCTATGCGAATGTCATTACAGAGACCAATCACCATTTTCTCACGCTTAGCGCATGGATTGTGCTGTGCGATCAAAACACTGTTGCCTGAAGTACTCATGTTGTTGAGCGCATCACAGATGTGCGCTGAGCGACTAGAGCGTCACAGAATCACACTCAGGCTTCTTTAACACTTCCTCTTCACACTCAAACTCAACAATACAAAAACAAAAACAAATAAACACGTAGAGAAACATACATTTTCTAGGGTGCCTCCTAGCAACCGCTTCTTTATCGTCACTAGCCTGACCTAAAAAATTCACGGTTCAGATAAATGAATAATTGTGGTGAGGTGTTCAACCTCACCACCCAAATAATGTTTCAATCTTTGACCATTCACAATCCAGCTTCTATTTTGATCCTCATAATTTGGATCCATCAATTCTACAACACCATAAGGCTTGACTGCCTTAATAGCAAAAGGACCAGACCATTTAGATTTTAACTTACCTGGAAACAATTTGAATTTGGAATTGAACAACAATACCTGTTGTCTAGATTGAAACTCTCTCTTGATCAACTTCTTGTCATGGTACATCTTAACCCTTTTTTTATATCTTTTTGATGAATCATATGCAGTCAACCTCATTTCCTCCAACTCTTGCAATTGAAGCTTTCTTTTACCTGCACAAAGAGAACAATCAAAGTTAAAGAATTTTAATGCCCAATATGCCTTATGTTCCATCTCAATCGGGAGAGACAACCTATCTACAAAAATTAAAAACAATGGATATATACAAATAATGGAACAAAATTGAAATTGATAAACAATAAAACAATTGAAATAACAATAACAATCAAATTCTCCGGTAATGATGCCAAAAACTTGATACCTTTTTGGCAAGTATACCAAATCGTTAATGAAATAAGTTTAGAGTATCGTTTTCCAAAGGAAATTTGAGTCACGTTATTTAATCAAGCTTGTTTATCAAAATCAATTTAGTGATGATAACATTTGATTTCAACTTTGGAAAATGGCATAAAATTAAGAACGTAAAAATTTAAAAATGTAAAATTATATAAAAGATCATTGGAATTGGTCTTAGTCTACCATTACAGTAACATCCTGAACAACATACGTTATATATTCAAGCATTCACATCAACGTATCATGATTTA